AAAAAAAAAAAAAAACAGTTGCTGGTCGAAACTTATTGCGGATAACAACAGATCCCGACGAGCGCAGTCAGGAACCGCTATCTAAAAAACGAAAAACAAAATCTGGGCTGTTTTGGGCCCAACTGACGGATAGGACTTTTGCTGGACTCAGAGGTGAAATTTCCCACATGAATGACAGTGATCTAAAAGTCGAGAGGAGGAAGGGATGGGTCCCCTCTATTTAGGTTTTTACCTGGTCACGAAACAAGATAGATGGGAGGAGGATGGACAGAGGGAGGGGAGAAGTGTGATGTGCATGTACACCAGGGCAAAGGAGAAGAGAAAGAGACACGGAGGGAGCTCTTTGGGGAATTGTGTGTGGCTCAGAAGCAGCAAGTCTGTTTGTGACGGTCGGGAAGAGGTATTGGTTCCGTTCCCACGTGGATGTGGTTGTCTTTGATTTGCTGCCGTAGGTGCTTGCCTTGGCGCTGTGGGCCCAGATGAAGTTGTATCCTTTGAAGCAAGGAAGAGATTTGCTCAAGGCGTTAGTGTAAGATTCAGGCTGCAAAAAGAGGTCGAAGAGCTCTGCTTAAAGATGAAGTGAAAGATATAAGGGACTATCTAGTGGTGCAATGCGTAACGAATGTAGCAGAAGTACTCTCGTTGGCACGCATGTAGAGAAACTCAGAATAGTAATGTTGCTGTGGGGAATGGTGGCACTGCGGTTATTAGTACCAGTTTAGGAGGAGCCCTATGCGCCATACAAACTCTGCTATGTGAACACTGGGAGCATATTCTCATCTTTTCCTCGGGGAAGAATAGCAATCCTTCTCTCATTTATAGACGGCGGAGTCATTATCAGGTCGGTTAACAGCGAACTACCCCGCTAGAGTAGATGTTTCCATTCCTTGAAAGTTGAAACACAGATCTATGTGTTGATGTCTAGGACTGCTGCATCTTCGGTGCACTGATGTCACTTCTACCTGGCCAGATGATTCAGAAGAAACCAGCAAGTGAAGCCGGGAAACACATTGGAAGCATCAGCTGATTGGCGATTGATTGTCAGCAAGATAACTAGATGTGAAGATTTGTGAATGATGTACTACATGGCCATTTTCTAACTTCTCATGTATGTGTTCGTCTGTCCTTGCCTCTGGTTATCTGCCTTGCGACTCTGTGTCTGCCTGTGTCTTCTCTTTCTCCCGCTCTCTATCTCCTGCCCCCCCCCGCCCCCCTCTCTCTTTCTCCCTCTCTCTCTCTCTGTGTAATTTTTGTTGATCAGTCTCTGTTGCGGGTGTCTGCACTGCCTTTAGGATTCGTTTCGTGGGAGGAAAGTGATATTGACAAGGAAGACCTAATAAGGTGAGTTTTAGGACACTGTTTGGCAGTAGTAAATTAATTCAGAATTGCAGAGAAGATGATTCGGAGTTGCCCCAAATCACACCTCTCTTAGGTGTGTAGCCTTCTGGAATGTGTAATTTCCTCTGCAGTGCTGCCGATCGGGGAGTCTCAATTTCTGGGATGGGAATTGGTAGGATGAGACAACGGAAGCATCACAAAACGGAAGGTCAGACTAAGGAGGGAATGAAAAAGGAGTCTGAATGGCTGGCATGGGAATCGGTAGGATGAGAGAAAACAGAAGCTATATGCTGTAGAGCCATTGAATTTCCACGATATGTGTTGGATGCAATGCGTTGCGTAGGATCTTGCTCGAGTTCTTGACAAGGGCAATCCTTTTTCTTTTTTTTTTTCTTTTTGGAAAACACACAAAGGCTCTGATCTATTGGTGGGGAGCAGCACCTGCTGGAAACCAGGTCCAGCGTCCCATAGACATCCAGGTTGAGCGGACGCGAATCAGGAAGTGTATCATGGCTGTAGTGGGCAGTTGCATTAGGTTAGGCTTAGTTTGGACCTCGATATCTCTTGGCACCGCAAGGCTTGTAGGGATCCCCTGCGAATACCCCCTTTTTTTCTGCCTTTGATTATGCAGAATGCTTGCGAGCTCAATTGGCCAATGAGTTATGATCCAAATCCTGTGAAATGGACTTGCCTTCGTTATCCACATGTCAATGGTTGAACTAATATATATAGGTGAAGCCTTCTGCTACCTGTCCTCTTTCCCTTAGTCTACCTACTATAATTTATTATGGGTGTGCTACTATGCTGTTGTGCTGCACTAAAGATATGGTGCATTGCACTGCCGCACTATGTGCACACATAAATGACTGAAGCTCTGAAAATATATAAAATTATAAATCCATATTTTACTAAGTTTGGCTCCACTTTTCGAAAGTAAATGGGATGTGAATGCCCTGGTGGTTGAAGGTCACTGTGAACTTCGTGCTTGCATTTGCGAGAAGCAATTTTGCAATCTAGTCATGGAAAGAAAATGAGAGATCTTCTGGGCCGTCAAATGACAATTCCAGTGTGCCTACCATGTGGTATTACCATACGTGCGGCGCATCGACGTGCGCTGCACCGCGCACAGCGCACGACGCGCGTGCACTGGGTGTGGCGCACCCCAGAAATAAGGGGTGGAGAAAAAGAAAAAAAAAAGTTGGGGAGGGGTGTTTTAGGCCCAAGTGGGATGTCGCGTCATAAACCACAAAAAAATAGAAACAAAAATTTGAGGCCGCGCGGGGCCTCCGAAAAAAAAAAGGGGGGAAGCAGTGTTGCACACGCCGACCGTCGGCGACCCCTGACTGGTCGGCTGCCGACCCGCCGACCGGTCGGCTGGTCGGCACCTACCGGTCGGGGGTTGTCGGCACCCCGCAATTTTTATTATTATTATTATTTTTTCCGGTCCAGAACCCCTAATAACCCCACAAACACCCCCATACCCACCCCAAATACCCCCATACACCCCCACAAACCCACAAACCGG